TTCTAGATCAAGTCTGCCCTGAGGTGTGGCTACCAGACGACCTGGAAGGGCACACGTGGAGCCCATTCATATAAAAGTAAAACTGGGAATTCCTCCCCACAGACTCAGGAAGTATCCATTAAAGCTTCAAGTTAAGAAGGGCCTTTGACCCCTAGTTTCAGCCTTTTTGGAATATGAGCTTCTTTGATCTTATTCTCCGTAAAACACCCCCATTCTGCCAATTGAAAAACCTGAGACCCAGAAATACCAGTTTGTTCAACATCTAAGGGCAATAAACCAAATAGTAAAGAACATTTATCCTGTGGCACCTAATCCTTACACTCTCCTCACTACATTATCTAGGAATTTTGCTTAATTTTCAGTGACAGATTTAAAAGACACTTTCTTTTACATTCCGCTTACTCCCAAATCCCAAGAACTATTTGCTTTTGAATGAAAACATTTAAAATCCAAAGCCAAATGCCAATACCGTTGGACTGTCCTTCCCCAGGAGTTTAAAAACTCCACAATTATCTTTAAAAAATTCTGGCCACATATTTCAAGAAAATAATTTTAGACAAGGGGCTGCTCTCCAAGGGGCTGGACAAAGGCTGGGACTAGTTTACGGCGCTCCAGGGCTGAGTGGTACAGAGAACCATGGAAAGATGATGCAGCACTATAGAGTCTTGTTAGGATTGTTCATCTGGTGCTATCACCCTACCTGGAAGTTGAAAAAGAAATAAAAAGTTTAAGGAAAAGCAGAGACAGAAAATACTAATGGAAAGATTACAGGGATGGAGAGAGATGTCTCACTTTGATCTCCTCACAAGGTCCTGAAAAAGAAAAAGATGGATGCCCAGTAGCAGTGGTTATCTTTAATGCCTGGGTAATAGAACAACAGCAGAAACTGTTGTCATTTCACAGTTTTTTTATACCAAGGACTTTATTTCATTTTGACCCCATAAAACCCTGGGAGATACTAAATAAAGCCCAGAGGGAAGACTCACTTCTGCAGGGCACCCTGCTGGTCTGGGACTTGACTCTACATCTAATGTTCTTAAATCTAATACCACATCAGGTCGTCTCTAAGAATCCAGCACACCCTCCATCAGGCAATTTCAAGGACCCTTGCATCACTTTTCCCCTCAGAGTTTTCAAGGTTTTTTTTCCAGTTTGTGAATTTTTTTCACTTCTCTTTTCTGTAAATAACTTCCTCCTTAAAACATAGTGCTTCATCAACAGTTAAGTGTATGTTTTCTAGCCTTTTAAGATATTTACACCAATACACACCCATTTAGTTTTTCTCACGAAAATTGGACGTTGCTATATATATTGTTCCATGACATGCTTTTTTTTTTAAACTTAAACACTAATATAGTATTTATAACAAGATGGTTTTCTTTCTTTGACATTGCAAATAGTACTGCTATAAACATCTTTGTGTGTAAATTGTTGTGCATAGCTCTAATCACTTCTGCAGAATAAGTTTTGGAATTGCATTTGTCATTCAGATAAATTTTTGAAAGTGCAATTGCTAGACAAAAGCAACTTGAATTATTCTTAAGTATATGTACATACCTATCTATTTCCTACAGGAAAGAAGTGTCTGCTCTTACCTTTGATCTCTGTGAGACCCATCCCCTAAAGTGAACAATGGAAGCCCACCCTTCAGTTCTGCATTTCTTGGGCATCAATCCAAGGCATCTCATTCTCCTTAAGGAAGAACTCCGACCTATCAACCCTGAGGAGGACCAAGTTTATTTTTTACTTACGATATATTTTTATGACTTATCCTGTGTGAGGCACTGTTGTAAGTAAATTGCCTGCATGATCTCATTTCATCCTCACAACAGCAACAAAAATGTTAAGTACTATTATTATCCTTATTTTACACATAAGGAAATTGAGTCACAGAGAGGTTGGGTAACTGGCTCAAGGTCACAAAGGCAACCTGGCATCAGAGTCTGTGCTCCTATCCACTCCATATTGCAACCCCTCCTCACCAATTATGAACTTCAGTGTCTGAGACGTACTAGATGGTAGGTTCTCAATAAAAATTTGTTGAATCAGTGGATTCATGTCTGTCCCATTTCACATCCGTTTGTCTCAAAACTTCTCTCCCAGGGCTTTGTGGAAAGGACTGGATGATAAGTGGACGTACATAAGGCTCTGTCTTTTTGGAAACTACTAAGGTTAGAGATACAAAGTGTTGGGCCCAGAAACTTCTTTTTTCATTTTTTTTTTTTCTTTTTGAGACAGGGTCTCACTCTGTTGTCTATGCTGGGGTTCAGTGGTGTCATCATGAGCAGCCTCAAATTTCTGAGCTCAAGTGATCCTCCCACCTCAGTCTTCTGAGTAGCTGGGACTACAGGCATGCACCACCACACCCAGTTAATCTTTTTATTTTTTTGGAGACGCCAGGTCTCTCTATGTTACCCAGCCTGGCCTCAAGTGATCTTCCTGCCTCAGCCTTCCAAAGTGCTAGGGTTACAGGCATGAGCCACCAAGCATGGCCCAGAAACTTCTTCCATGAAACTCAGCACCTTGGCTGCTTCTCCATGTCAAAGTAACTTGGATTCTCTAGGTAATAGTTGAATGTTTCATTCTTACTGTAAATGCAGAACTAACCCTATCTGATGCAACTTTGTATAATAAAATGATGAGTTGTTTTTCAGTTGCCATGGACCCCCAGGTTGAAGGTCATGTAAGCTGAGCATGCCCGGATGAACCAAGCCTGCACCCACGGGTGGAATCTAAGTGCTTCCACCAAGTAATGCTGACCAAATTAAGAAGCCAACACCTCATTGCATAGTCCATGAGCCAATCAGATCGAGCACAGCATCACCCCTACAGCATGATCCAGTCATATCATTCCTCCCAGCATCACATCATTGCAAGATCCAATCAGATCAAGCCTTGTTACTCTCTTCCTATAAAACCTGCCCCAGACACCAGTTCAGGGAGACAGATCTGAGTATTGCCAGTTGACTTGCAATAAAGCCTTTCTCTTCGCAAAAGCTGATGCCACAGTATTGGTTCTTGTGCAAGTAAGGGAGAGAGCCCAGTGCTTACTTAGTGACATTACAGATATAATTTCAAGCAGCAAAGCTTCTAAATAGATTGTGAATTAAAATTAAGACAATCAATCAAACAAATAAATAAATAAGTACTGATGGATGTATAGGGATGAACAGAGGGATGGATTACAATAAAGTAACAAACAACCTATGTGGTATATACATTGGTATTCACTAAAAATTCTTTCACTTTTGTTATATGTTTGGAAAGTTTCATGACAAACTAGTGAGGAGGGGGAGGGTAGAGGGAAGAATCGTGTTCCCCGCTGATAACAGAGACCAAAAGTATTATTGGCTAAAACAAAACAAGAGTTTATTTTCCTGTCATGTAAAATGAATGTCCAGGGATAGTCTGGCAGCTCAGGGATGTCATCCATGCACCAGCCTACTCTGTCTTCATTCTCTACTGTCTTAGCATTTGGCTTCCATTCTCAAAGTTGCCTCATGGGTACAAGGCAGCTGCTGCACCTTCATGTCCAAAGTCCATGTACTAGGTATGAGGAAGAAGGAAGTAGGGAGTGTCTCCCAGCTGTTTCAGCCTCCCCTTTTAAGGATATCTGGGAAAAGCACAATCCTACAACTTCACCTACAAACCATTGGCTCAAACTTAGTCCCTTGATTTCCTCTATCTCCATGGGGAACAGAACACTGCAGTACACAAGAAAATTAAGCCTTATTACTAAGAAAAAGTGGAGAATAGATAATATACAAGTGACCAGCTATCTTAACCACAGAGACTAATTCAAACTGTTGTAATAGAATCAGATTCCATCAGCCCAAGTCACATCTAAACCCTAGTAGCTTTGAAGACTGTATCACTGTCTTATAAACCAAATAAAGTGTCTTGGGAGGTCTTAGGGCACAGGTAGAACCAGTTTGTCCCACAGACCTTGTAGAGAGACAGCATTCACAGCCTATCTAGAGTCTAACCTCAGAGACTACATAATACA